ATGCCAACCCATAAAATAGGTAATAATAATGTTAATTTACACAGGTCACACATTTTGGATTAACTTTTCAAAAGATCTTAACAACTGGGTACATAAGTAACCTGTCGGTGAAATGGTGCTTATTTTTCTGTTTTTGCATGAATTATTTTCTTTGCTGAAACTGGAAAAAAAAAACTCATAAGTATTAAAATTTACTAAGAGAAAAATGTGCCTCTGGGTTAGCTTAGCCAATAACACAGCATGTTAATTTGAATTAAATATAAATCATGAATTACAGGTTGCAGTTGCATTTGAGCTAAGTTGCACTGTTCTGCACAAGTCAGAAAACTATATAACTCAATTATCAAACAAAATCATAATTTGGATGTTTATGAGTTTTATACACCCAACAAAGCCAACTGTTTGATATTGAACCAATCCTAAAAAAATACCTGTGTAGAGTTGTTGAGTTAAAATAAAACAAAATGTGTTTAAAATTAAAAAAAAAAAAAAAAACACTGACCAGCTTTCAACTACAAAAGGTGTCCTCAAGATAATCTAGTATACACAAATCAGATTATTAACATTACTTAGTGAAGAGTTACAATTAACATTGTCAAGTGTTTGCCTAAAATTCAATGGAGTTAGAAACAAAGGAAAAGATTCCATCATTTTGTGGGATGTCTTAATTGGACTGAGAGTAATATATATTATTATTTACATTTTGATAGATAGTTATTGGTTTCAAAACTACCTTAAGCTTAGAAACACAAAAGTGGCATTAAAGAAAATGGACAGGAGGAAGTCTATTTCTAGCTGCCTCATTATTTTTTTCTCAGTATCCCCTACCTCAGCAAAAAGTAAATCTTTGGGTAGTTTAGGATAAAACCACACAGTGATAGCTGATGCTTCTCCTTCCCTTACATCTCCTTTACTCATCTCCTTGACTAAATCATGTTAGGTCTGTCTTCAGAATATTCCCACCAACTTCCTTGCTATCAACCATTATTTCTAGCTCGGATTATTACAATAATATTTAGTCCTAAAGTGTTCCTTCACTTGTTTATTCATCCACCCATCAAATAACTACTAATAAACAACCACTTCAGTACACAGAGAATTACCCTTTTGGCCTTTACAAAACAAACACCTCTTATCTAACCTGAATCTCACTACGTGCATTGTTCCAGGACATAACTGCCCAGGGTACCTAAAAGTCAATACTGAGAAAATGAATGACTAGGTAAAGTATCATTTTCCAAGTTGGGATCCTAATGCTTTCATTCTAAATCAAACTAAACTAAAGAACCTAACTGATACGTCATTGAGAATATTCTGAGAGCCACTGGAATCATGATATGCCATAATTTTTGGCATATAACTCAATAGGAATAAAAGGAATTGAACGACACTGCTATATTCTTTTTATTCCTCTCAACAAGATGTTTTGGCCTTTACATCTCTGAAAATGAAAAGAAAAACAACTGATGTTGAACTCTGTCAGATGCTAGCAATAAACAATATTTATCCATGAAAATTTCAGCTAAATGATAAAAAGCCCAATGTCACCAAGAAATACATTTCAACAAAGCATTACTTTTTATAATTATTCAAAATTATAATATTTATATGTTGATTAGCTGTATATTAATAGTTATAATGATTAAAAAAATTTCCCTGGACTGACTTAACATTTAGAACATTATGACCACAAGAGATGCAGTCACTATTAATACACACTTTTTTTTTTGCTGCAGTGAAAAATGATAACCAGCAAGACTTTGATGCTTAAAACCATACTACATAAGAGTAGAATTCTATAGGTCTGGGTTTCTCAGAGGCATAGCACTATTTTGGGCCGATTAATTTTTGTTGTTGAGGGTTCCTTTGAGCAATGCTGGATATTCTGCAATATCCCTGGCCTCCTCCACTAGATACCCGGTAGCCCCTACTCCTAGCTAGGACACCAAAAATGTGTCCAGATACAGTCAAATATCCCAAGAGGGAGGCAATAGTCTCTGAAAACCACCTCTGTAAAGGACAGAACAGCAATACAATATAATACTTAAACTATTAAAATGTTAGTTTACTTTTTAAAATTGGATAATGGGTATCTGTGGTACACATTTAAAAGAGTGGCTGTTATTGTAAAATAACATTTTATGATACACTGGAAATTACATTATTTGCCATTATTTAAACTTATGGCAAAGAGCTTTGGATGTTAGTTTATAATCCATTAGCCCAAAGCATCCTGTAATTTATAGGACAGGTGGGTAATGTACTTTAACATTCAATGTACTTTAACATTCACTTACTGATCTTTCTCCAAACCCTAATATAGTACTTAGCTATAAGTCTTTTTAAAAATATACTTAAAAATGTATTAAATTTTTAAACACTTGATAAAAGTCTAGAAAACTGGAAGTATCAGGGCTTTTAAACAAATACTACATATGTAGGGACAAAGCAACTATTTTTCAAAATTCAACTTGTATAGACTAGTAACCTTTTCTACATCCATTCTTCAGATGATGTCTTATAGAACTCCAAGGATTTGGAGACTGATTAAAAACTCCAAAGATCTTTTTCATATACAGAAGCAGTACCTGTTAAATCCTGTTACTAGTCACCTAAATAGTCTCTAACTAAGCTCCTATTCTCTCAGCTTAATCAGTTTATCGTCAAGAATGCTTATGGAATCATTCATTTTAGCTATAAATATAAAAATGTATGTAGTGCTTTTATTGTTTTAAAGAATGTCCACATACATTATCTGGTATTAATCAAATACATCTACAGGACAGGTAAGAAGGTATTAGGGAATTAAGAAATGTGTAGTTTAGTAATGACTTGCCTAGTTTACAATTCAGCAATAGTAGCAGCAGCAGCAGTGTTGACATTTCCAGAGTAATCACACCAAACGCTTTCTCAGGAAATCCTCATTTGATGTTGTGATCATAACTTCACATTGTATGGAGTTTTAGGATGCTTGAAGGCAAGTTAAATAAAATTACTGCAAAGGTTGCAGAAAGTCTTTAGCTGTAGCAGCCAAATTTCTTAATCACTTTATATAAGACTCTGAAAACTAAATCTTCCAAATTGTCTGTAATATAGTATTACTTAAAATCCACTTCTATGTTGAATATACTTATTGTCAAGTGTTTTTTTTTTTTTTTTAAGTTTGAATTCTTCTATCTGGAAGGACAAAATATTAACAGTACTTCTCAAGAGGATGGCTGCGCTTTTTACAATCAAGTAACTGGAGAATACAGAGAAGCGAAGTCTGTCAATAAGCCCCTGCAGAGCTTATCTATACATGCCAGTTACTAGTGTCTTCTAAAAATCACTGTTCAGTTCTTAAAGTTAACTAAGTTAGGGCTCTGGTTCTTAATACCATATCAGGAACCACCTTCTTCTCAGAACCATCAACACCCCTCATTTTAACTCAGCGCTCAGACTAAAAAGGATTATATGTTCTCAGGTACTGCTAGAGTCCGGGTCCCCTAAAACTCATACCAAAACAAGGCGCTATAGTTCAGCATTTCCGAGTTATTTTTGCAGTCGTGGCGTGAATCTGAGCCAACGTGCCTGTGTGGAGCGCCAGACAGCCCGGGGTCCCCATGGTTACCGCCACAGCAACGCGTCGTGGCCCGCGGGGCAGCAAGCTCCAGCCCCTGGACCGCCGCGGGGCGGAGTTGGAGGGGGGACCTGGAAACACCAGCCCGCGCCTCACCGACCCCGCCGGAAAATTCACTTCTCCAAAGTGAAGCAAACGGCTTCAGGGCCGCGCGGTGAAAACAGGAGGAGCAAGGCAACCCCGCCAACTGCTCATCCCCGCTCGCAGCAGCTAGGACAGAACTCCCGGCTACACCAGGCCGCGTCGGTTCTCTCTTCATGACACTTTTCATTTAGCTTCGCTTTTTCGTACCCGCTCAGGAAATTTAAGATGCCTCCACAGATAATAACAGACGCCAAAGACGCGGCGCCCCAGCCCGTCCGCCAACAACTCACGCCTTTCCCACGTTTTCACCGCAGACCCGCCCCGGCCTAGAGGCTTGCGAGCCCAGGGAGACGCGAACTCCCGCCAGGCGTGCCCCGCCTCGCCCCGCCTCGCCCCGCCCCCAGGCGCGCGCCCCAAGCGGGTGAGGGGCGTGGAGCACGTTGCCCCGCCCCCTCCTTCCCCGGCGAGAGCAGTTCTGGGTGGAGGACTGGCAATTCCGCAATTCATTTCTTTTTCACTCCCGCTTACAGGCTGTTTCCATGATAGCAAAAGAGAGGCCCCAGTAAAACTCAACAATCATAAAAGATTAACTGTTAACTAAAAGTCGTTTCGCTACCACATCTCGCCAGCTTATCCCTCCCCGAAGAGCTACAGCTCCGCCCCCGCCAAGCGGGCCCCGAAAGCCACCCCCGCGGGCTCGCGCTTACGCTTTCCGGGCGGCGCGCGACGCGCTCGCTCCGCCCCGCGAGCCCCGCCCCCTGGCCCCCGCTCCCTCTCTCTGGAGAGCCAACGCGTACGAATCGGGGCGTGAGGCGTCAGGGACGCGCGGGCACCTCATCCTTCCCACCTTCCTACACTGTTGCTACTTTTCGGTGTGAGATATTCCAGCTTCTCTTCCCCTTCCGTGAGTCCCTCTTTCTCTCTCCTCAAAGACCCCGCTCGCCCCAAAGGCGGTCGCCGCCGCAGCTCTCGCGCCCCCACCGAGCAGTGCGCGTGCGCGCGCGCGGACGCGCGGCCGTCGGGTCCCCGCGCTTCCCCCCTTCCTCCCGCTCCTCTATAACTTGGTTGGCGTGCAGCAGGCGCCGCCAGAGTCGGAGGGCGGGGAACTCGGAGGAGGGAGCTCGAGAGTTGTGGAGACTAGTGACTGGGAGAAGTCGCAGCCTGCTTTGGTCGGCTCCTTCCCGCTCCCCGTCTTTCTCTCTTACACACCTACTCCGCCTCCCGCCCCAGCCCACGACCTCGCTCCTTCTCTCGCCCGGGGACCCCTGCCGGTCGCTCTCCAGGTTTCGGCGCGGCGGGGGCGCCCACGGGGTGCCCTCGCCCTCCGGGTGCGTGTGGACGGGCGGCGGGCGGGATGTGGCGCCTGGTGCTCCCGAAGCTGGGCCGCCTGTCCCGCTCGCTGAAGCTGGCGGCGCTGGGCAGCCTGTTGGTGCTGATGGTGCTGCACTCGCCGTCGCTGCTCGCCTCCTGGCAGCGCAACGAGCTGGCCGACCGGCGCTTCCTGCAGCTCAATAAGTGCCCGGCGTGCTTCGGCACGAGCTGGTGCCGCCGCTTCCTCAACGGACAGGTGGTGTTCGAGGCGTGGGGCCGCTTGCGCCTGCTGGACTTCCTCAACGTGAAGAACGTCTACTTCGCGCAGTACGGCGAGCCCCGCGAGGGCGGCCGCCGCCGAGTGGTGCTCAAGCGCCTCGGCTCGCAGCGCGAGCTGGCGCAGCTCGACCAGAGCATCTGCAAACGGGCCACCGGCCGACCTCGCTGCGACCTGCTCCAGGCCATGCCCCGCACCGAGTTCGCGCGCCTCAACGGCGACGTGCGGCTGCTCACACCCGAGGCGGTGGAGGGCTGGTCGGACCTGGTGCACTGCCCCTCGCAGCGCCTGCTCGATCGCCTGGTGCGCCGCTACGCCGAGACCAAGGACTCGGGCAGCTTCCTGCTGCGCAATCTCAAGGACTCGGAGCGCATGCAACTGCTGCTGACCCTGGCCTTCAACCCCGAGCCGCTGGTGCTACAGGTAGGCGCGGAGCCCAGGAAGGGGGTGGGGGGGGGGGGCCTACCGGGAAGGGCCGCGCGGGGTAACCGCAGTCGGAGAAGTGGCTCAGCCGACGCTCGTTGCCCCGTTTGGACCCGGCCCGGCTGGGCCAGCCTGCGGGCGTGGGAAGGGGGCGGCACTGGGGGACCTTTGGGCGCTGTGTCGGATCGGGGAGGGCGACCCGGAGGGGGGAGAGTCCGTTCTTGGCAGCTAGACGCGGACGCATCTCGGATTCGACTGCGGAGGCTTTAACAGCAGAGGGAGCGCGTCTTGTACGTTCCCAAAATGTCTCTCCAGTGAGTTTCCTTGGGCTCTTCTCCCCGCCTTTCTGCTTTTATCCACCGGGGTTTGCACTTCCACAGTGCGGTCTGTTCACGAGCCCTCGGATGTTTAATTCTTTTCAAGTGTTTCTATACTGCATTCGCTGTCCCCTTTGGTACTCTTCGTGCCCGGCCTAACTTCGGCCCCAAAGTCTTTGTTTTATCCTTCAGCTAAATTATCTGGCGGGTCATTGGGGCAGTTAATTTGGGGACAAGCTGGGGAATTGAGGCTGTGGTCAGCATAATCCATTGAGCCGCGCTTTGAGTGGGATTAGGAAGAGGAAAAAGTAAGGCATCCTTGGACTTGGGGCTGGGAGGATTTGAGGCCAACACGGACATTTTCATCCTGATTCTGTGACCTGCTGTATTCATCTAGTAATTTGGCTGCAGGAAGGAGATGAAATGTTCAGCCAGGGTGAGAAATAGGGGAAGGAGATTCTTATTCTCCTTATTGGCTCTCTCCTGACTTTATTTTGAAAACAAACACACCTTTTCGGGGAGTAGGTTGGCGTCTTTTTAGTGATGACAGCAAAAAAAGGAAAACCCAAAAAACTGTTGACCTTTGGAGTAGTTACTGAGTTTCTGCACATTCCCACCCGGCTTTAGTGTGGTGTCCTTGGGTAGTGGTTACAGCTGTGGGGTTGTGACCCTTCCTCTAACTGCAGGAAAGTTACCTTGCTCCTTTCCCATACCAGTTTTGCTGTTTATCAAATACAAGGGGGGGGGGAATCACTTAAAATTAATAACTAACTTTGGTATACTTCATGCTTTTTCTGTGCTCCTGAGAATGTTACTAGTGGGGGGTGTGGTTGTACAGGATGCTTGTGTTTTGTTTTGTTTTTTTATCTGAAGTGCATGAATAGGAATGTACGGTATTCATTTATATTGCTTTCTTTTCTCAAGTTGTCCGCTGCCCAACTTAGCTAAGAGAAACCAGCTTTGTTTCATTAGTTCAGCCAGATGATTTTAACACAAAATAAATACTTTGCCTCAAAACTTTAGTGTGGGTCTTAGTAAATCTTAAACTGTTATTGGATGTACCTAAGGGGTTACATTTAAAGTACAGATTGTATATTAAACACTGCTCTCTTTAACAGTGAGTGGTGTGTAAAATTGGTTAAACTTCCTTCTAAGAAATTATTTTATTAAGTGGTTTCAATAAAACTAGCCAGTCTATAAAGCTTAAGTCCATATTTGTGATATACATTTGACTTGAAACTTTTTTTTCCATTTAAACTGTCTTTTATCCTTGAGAAGTAGATGTTTATATTAGGAAGGTTGGTCCCTGTAGAAGGCTTTAACAGTGTATTTGCAGATAATCTGTCAAATTCTCTGGGACCCAAAAATTTAGTAAGGAGCTATCTGAGTAGTAGTACACATTTTCTGCACTTGTAATAGTGGGTACTTATTGAAAGATTTTTATCAGGTGATTCTGAATATTGGTATATTAGAAACAATAACTAGGACTAATATTTTAAGAACATTATATATCCAGTTCTTTATAAAGCTGTCTTGCCATTTGATTTGCACTAAGGAAAATTTGCCTTATTTGGGAAGCTTTTATGTTAAATTTTTGAAGTTTGAAATTGTCTTGACATTTTCAATTTACTTTGTAGTCGAGATAGGCAAGTGTACTCTTAGTTCCTTTTCTGATTAACTCTTCCCTCAAACTCCCTCTTTCTGTTTTCATCTTTAGTGATAAACAACTTTAAAAAATCAGTTATATTCTTGTAATTTAAACTTAGTGACACCATTACTCTGAGTGGGTGATAGATGGGTTATAGGATAAGAGTTTGTTTTTAATATGTGAGGAAATATATGTTAACCTGGTTAATTTTGGCTTTTGTATATTGCATTTGAAATGTAGGCAACCCCTTTCTATAACTAGTAAGTGCTGTGTGAAATATAAATTTGGGGTCTTTAATACCAGTCAGTTATATTGGTATGTTCAATTTTTTACATGATGAACAAGCAAGTTGAATAAGATTTATTTTTAGGGGCACCTGGGTGGCTCAGTGGGTTAAAGTCTCTGCCTTCGGCTCAGGTCATGGTCTCAGGGTCCTGGGATAGTGTCCCGCATCCAGCTCTCTGCTCATCGGGGAACCTGCTTCCTCTTCCTCTGCCTGCCTCTGTGCCTGCTTCTGATCTCTGTCTGTCAAGTAAATAAATAAAATCTTTAAAAAAAAAAAAAAGGATTTATTTTTAAATCACAGAGCTTGTACTTTGTTTATAGAACCACTTCATCTGTGGGGAAATATTAGTGAGTTAAGTATGATCAATGCACTTGAGGTTTGATGGTGGCATAAAACCACTAAAGTTAAAGGAATCTTAAAATTCTGTGATAAGGTGCAAAGATTGTTACTAAGTCAAATTACGATATTTGTTATTTCTGCTAACTAGATAAATGAGTTCAAGTTTAATATTTATATGGGTTTCTATAAAACTAAAAGCTATTTAAAGTACTATGCTGTATTAATAATGATAGAAAACCTCACTCATATTTGCCTGTTGGTGCATTTTTGTTCACGTATCTTAAAAAAATATGCTTAAAGATCAAGCCTGTATTTTACAGCTCAAAGAGGAACGCAACATTTTTTTGTTTCCAGGAGAGGGAGCTACTTATTGAATTTTTGGACAGTTGGTGACAAATTGGATTTTTCTTATATTGATTGTCCAAAAATTAACTACTTTGGGGGGGTAAAAAAGTGTTTTGAACTGACTTCATCAAAGTATTCTTAACAAAAGTTCCAGTGTGGTAAACATGCTTCCAAAATAAATACTTAAAAATCTCCTTTGATGGATACTAAAGAAAGAACTGAAAATGTATATAAATTTTGCCTGTTAAACTTGCCTTTTCTGATTTTAAGAAACAATAAACAATTGAATTTTCTATTATGCCTTGAAAGAAGACATGGAAGATACTAAGTGTCTATAAGATCTATTATACACATACCTTATCTGTGTAAGGCTATGTAGATTTGTAATATGGACTTAGCCAGTATGAAATGGTATGAAAGTACAACACTTTTCCCATTGTTGAATAGTTTTACTAGCTTACAGCAGCTTATCTAGTTCAAAGGAAAGTTGTTTGGCCATAGAATTATCATCTTCTAAAAAAAATTTTATAAACATCAAGCAAGATAATGCTAGAACCTTTTTTTCTACACTGATACTTTTTTTCTTCACAGTTTTACTTCACCAAGAAGTATGTTTTAATTATAAGTATACCATAATCCTATGAGGAAAATTGGAGAGAGGGACTTTGTTGATTTTTTATTGTGTATAGCATTCTTGGAATACTGGAAAATCAAGGAGGTGAAGTGTTTTGACAAGATGTCAAGGTTATTGGTAAATTTTCTACCAATATTTGTAGTTACCTGTTTCTCGAATTTATAGAAGTTGTGTGTGTGTTAGAGAAAAATACTGTCTGAGTTTCCTGAAGCCCAAACTATCTCTGAATTGATGACCTAGAGATAATGACGATGGCCTTATTTATAGAAACAAAGCTCTTACTTGTTTAAGATGGAGGAATTGGGATTTGTTTCATTACATTTATAGAACTTTATCTTAAATTTTCTGAATCATGGTTTTAATAGGAATTCCTTAATTTTTCAGCATGTAACTGTCATTTATGGTATAGATTTTAGCTTTTATTTCAATTTTTGTAAATGACACAGTACATGCAAACCACGTTATATAGTGCCAAATCCCTATTAAGGAAGCACTCAGTGTTAGACACTAAATAAGGTAAAAGTAACTTTAACCATCAGCTAGTTAATCAGCTGTACTGAAGCTTATATGGATCATCTTAAAAATAGTTATGATTCAGACTATGAGCCATACCTTTGGTTACATTGATTTAGTCCATCCCTATATTACATGATGAATTTTTACAGAAAATGTTGAGTGAATGTTGTTTTGTCCTTAAAGATACTTCCCAAAGGAGAAAATATTTTTAAGGTGCACTGCCCAAGGTATGGTTTTTGAAGTATACAAAAGATTATGGCCATTTAGCTGTCTTACTTTGGACAGGTTGACGAACTCTTAATGGGACTTACTTATTTATAAACTAAGACTATTTGTATTAGGTCCTTTCCTTTTTGGCCCCAATATCCTTAGTCTCAAACCCTTGATTTGAGAAATTATTTTTTTCTACTTCTGAGTTTGACTTTAAGTGGTGGGTTTAAACTTCTAAAAGGGGATTGGGGGATTTGGTACTTGGTCCCTGCTAGAAGATATGTGAAGGAGGCCAGGATAGATAGCCCTGTTTTCAAGCTTGCCTTCCTCCCAGACTTTTACATACCGAATCAGATTAAAACAAAACGAAAAACCAGAGATTTCCTTTAAAGGAAAAAAATATGGAGCTCAATGTGGCCAAGTATCTTGTGGGGCAGTAGCATTTGGAAAGAATGTTCCAGACTTTGTCTCAGGAGTGTCTTTGCAAGCAACAGCTTAGGGAGCCACCTACCTCTCTCCCACTGGATGCTACTGTGGTAACTGCATTCCCAGAGTTTCAAAGATGGTTCTGAGTAGGTAGTTCTAAGTAGAGCACTTTTTTAAAAAAATCTAATTCGTAGCCTTAAATCTAGAGGTTTTAGTGTTTTTCTGTTTTTTTTTTTCTTTAATCAGAGGTTTTATTGACACTTGAAAATGCTTCATGAA